TATATATATATATATGAGGCCTCTCGAGACAAGAGTGTGCAACAACAGTGTACAACAGCAGTGTGGAGAGACAGTGACAGAGAGAAGCAGAGGCACAGAGACAGGACAGGTTGTTCTCTGTGTTTCCTGTTGTTGCAATAAAACTCAGCTGATCATCCCACAGAGTACCTTCATTCTTGGACCATGTATTTCTGTCTTTGTTAGATAAATATTCACCATAACAGTTTGGCGTTGTCAGGCAGAGACCACTAGGAGATCAACGGACCAAGGCCACACTGTTAAGGTAAATATTTATCTAACAAAGACAGAAATATGTGGTCCAAGAATAAAGGTACTCTGTGAGATGATCAGCTGAATTTTATTGCAACAACAGGAAACACAGAGAACCTGGCCTGTCTCTGTGCCTCTGCTTCTCTCTGTCACTGTCTCTCCACACTCCTGTTGAACTGTTCTCAAGAGGCCTCATATATATTAACAAATGCCATTCTGTCATCTTAGCAAGATTTGATACAAGGTCAATGGAAAACACAAAGATAAACACAAGTGACATCTAAGAATGACTGTTGTTAGCAAATCTTGTTCTGACTTTTATCATTCTGTCTGCAGATGAACAGCATGTCGTGAAAACCCTAGGTCATTAAAGGATGTCATGAATTACTTGCTTAAACGTAAAAGTATTAGATCTATTACAAACATAAAACAGGCAGAAAATGTCAGAATGATAGCTAAAAGGGGAGAAATATGCTCAAATCAGCAAAATAGCAGCTGAAGGAACATGAAATTAACTCAAAGAAGTTGAAAAGGTGGAACTGCAACAAATAAAAGTTCAGTTAAAATTTAATAAACATTTTAAGGATGTTGAAGATAGGTCCATTCATTTTCATTGAGAAAAACATGACAGAAAAGGCTAAATATCTCAAAAAACATAAATTGTAGAAGTACCAAAAGTCATAGTTRGAATGTCCTGAATGAGCTGAATGGTTTGATATGTAAATTATAAAAATAGCACAAAAATTGAGATGTGTGCAGAAAAATGTCCAGAAGAAAAAAAAAGATCTCAGTAGTGTAAAAGCTATACGAGTATTCACACTATAAAAAAAACAGTGAATTTAATTTATATATAAAAAATACTGGTGAGAGTTTATGTAAACCATTTTAAAATAAATACAAGTGGAAAACACAAATAGGCTTAACAGTAGAAGTAAGTAATGAGACCTGCAWACATTAATATTGCCAATGGGGAAAAACATATTGACAAAATGAAGCTGGGCAGAGGTGCCGTTATGTAGGAGGGAAAAAAGGTGAAACAACAGAGAATATTATCTTCCTCACACACACTGCTGACCCTGCCAAGCTCCTGGCCCGAAGGGAATCTCCCATTCTCGGCTTCCTCGCATCACTCTTACTCACACAAAAATCACTTCCTCGATGCTGCTCTTGTCATCACACTTCTAATGCAGCYACTTTGTCACCATCCCTGTCAACATGGGCTTTTGCCAATAACACCAAAGCAAAGAGAGACAGAAACAGCGAGCCAAAGGGCAACAAAGAAAGATGTCTTTTACGAGGACTCCGTGGCGTTTCAACTGCCCACAGAGGGAAACAGGATCAATGTCACTGCTGGGACTTTTTAATTTGCTCACGCTGCTGTTGTGGAACCACAGGAGATACACACAGTAACTCTAATTATTGTCACTCATTCAGAGGCATAGTTCACGTGCAGATGATTCTATCAATATCTTGATGCTTCTTACATCCCTCGGGACCTACCTCTGCATTGTAGAACTGATAAATGACTTTATGTGGTATTAGTGCAATCACAGAACAAGGCAGAGTGTGGTTACTGACTCCAGGTGACCYCTGTCTGCCTTTGTAGAGGTCATGACATTGAAAGAGACACCAAAGATGTCAGATCCAGAACAGTGGGTGACTTACGGTACACACTCTGCCTTTTATTAAAGGGCCTGAAAGCAAGAGGCTGGTGTTACATTCAAACAGGAAAGMGATGCAAGTCTTTACCTCAAGCCATATCAATAAAATTTGACCATCATTTGTGTGTATATGCACTTTTSTGTGTGCTGCATAACAAAATGCTAAAATAAACATTTATTCATAAAAGAGCAGGTCTGTGCTTTAGTCATTTTGTTGGAACAATGTGAGTGTAGGTGTTTACGCTATCAAGCAAAACACAGWAAACATAAATTTCATTAAATACACGCAAAAGGGTTGTTTTTAATGGTTCTATACTGTTAATAAAGATTTTTTTTATAAATGTATGATAGTAAAGAATGATAAATTATCAGCAAAAATTGGTGAGCTGAAGAACAAGAACAGCAACACTACGGTTTTATGCGCAATAGTCTTTGATCAGATTGGATAAAATAATCTGAATGCATTATTTATATGGTCACAAAATTAAATAATTAGATCATGACGAGTGTTTACACACCCCAGGCTTTTATTCAGGATAGAAGTGCTGACATGTGTGGAGTTGTAAACTTTCCTTAAAAAACACAGAAGTTTTAATTCTGTGATGAACTAGCCTGGCCCTTGTCTTCCTACACAGTTCTGCTCCATTCTAGTTTCCCTTCTCTGCTTCGTCTGGGTTTTCTCCCATAGACAAGGATTTCTCTGGTAGAATTTCAACCGGGCCAATCAGCGAACAGGAAGCGGCGATGTGAACAACGACGATTTTCTGCACCGTTTTAGTCTGCCTGTAGTTTAGCAATGGCAGCGGAGGAAGTGAATGAAGCCCATTCGTGCTTACAAGGCTTCCAAATTAAATTAAATTTGTCTCAAAAAGCCTGCAGCACTCATTTATATATTCTCTCCTCTCAGTAGGGGATGGTTGTTTACAGTGAAAGCAATTTCCGGTTAGCTTCTTAGCCTAGCTTCCTTCACAGTCGAGCTGGCACACTGCGTACGTCACGGCCAAATGTTAGCGATTGGGCAATCCAATCAGTCCAYGCCTCCAACAAGTAAATGCATCTCAATAGTCGTGGTTGGAGACCCTCTGTACGAAGCAAACCGTAGGACAAGGGGCTGGTTTTTACCAGGCTAGCGATGAACACAAACAAACGTTAAAATATACAAAAAAAACCCATAAACAATCACTGAAATAATGCCATATTCCTAAACTTTCGACCATCAAGGCATTTGAACATTTTGAGCTCTCTCAAAGTTTCTAATAGAAATGTCGTATTGCTAACCGACCAGTTTATCTTCCCTGACATGTTAGCATCTAGCCAGGTTGCACACATGCACAGTCCGGTTAGTTTTCCACAACCGGAGTAACATGAGCAGAATAAATGTTTACATGCACACCGTTCGGATTATCAGTTGGCATAAACCACTCTTCTCATTCAGATTACAAATTCATTTAGAGCGAGCTGCATCAGATCAAAAATCTTCCAATCGAAGCGTTTACATGACAATTTTATTCCAATTGGCCGTTTATTCTGATTACTTGTGTCCATGTAAACATAGCTACTGTCAGATAGTTTGTGCTTTATGAAGCACAAAATCAGACTTTACTTAATGGAGACCTATGGGGCCTTATCTTAAGACAATGGACTGTAGAAGCAGATAACATCAGCTGCTGTCTGTTAGAAAGCACACTGTTGTTACCCAGCAAGACTAAAGTGGGCTTTAAGGGACAGAGAATAAACAGAGGAAGAGTATATAATAAATGTGTTTTTTCTTTAACTGCATAATGCAAACTACACTAATGCAGCTAAAGAATAAATATAGCTATTGTTAGAATTAATCTTTTTAACCAAATGTTTCTTTTGGAAAGCTGGGTTGAAGCCTTCAGCGTTAATTTGAAAGTTGAAGGCTTCACCTATTTTGTGATTGCTGCTCTTTTTGGTCTGACAGATAACTGAGAGAGCATAAACAACAGGGGTTTGATATTTTAATGTAGGAAAAGATTCAGTGGCAGCACATGCCAAAATTGGATAACTGACATTTATAAATTGTTTCTGGTGAAAAACCACAACAAGTAGTTTCAGTGGGTTTTACAAAAGCTGTTAGTCTAATTTGTGAGCTTAAATTTTAAACGGCGCTGACAAAGATGCACAAACTTTAAAACTCTCTCTTCACCTTTCCCATGAGGACACCGATGGTCTGACATAATCTGATCTCTTAATATAATGAAGCAGCCAATCCTCTTCATCAGTCAGATAAAATGAGTAGACAGATCTGTCCAGAGTTTCTGTGCTGATTTGAATAGATTGGATGAGATGGTTGTTGAGGTGGAAGGCACAGTGGCCTCTGGGAACACAATTACCGAAATAGGGGCTAAAAAAAGCTTTATTGGGCTAAGCCCCTTAAGCTCAGGTACTTGCCCTTCAAAACAGAGACTGAGAGTTTGTGTTCAACTACAAAAAATATTTTTATTAAAGCGTAAGAACAAACTATTTCTTTTATCACTTGTATCCAGCAGAATGTTAAGAAAATTAGTGACAAATTATCCTAAGCAAAGTGAAGTCAGTTTCCCCCATGTTGTCACACTTGGTTTAATTCTAAGAACACTTGAGCTAAAAGGCGATTTGACATTCTGTAAGGTTACAACASTTCCCCCAGGGCTCTGTTTGGGTCCTCGTGCACGAGAGGGGAGCCGACAGATTCCATATTCTCCCCCAGCAGCTCGGTCTGAGCGTAACCCTTTATCGAGGACACTGCCGCTGACTGGTGGGCATATCGGGGGATCTCAGGGTGACCTGCCCTCGTCAGGCTGGGAGAACAGGAGAATAAAGCAAATAGTGTGCATGCAGCATAATAAAAAGGTGCAATTTTTCTAGCTCACGATGCTTATCTGAAGCACTTTACCATAAGAGTGCCACTTCTCTTGCCCACAAGCCTCTGTTTTAGCACAGTTTTCCTTTTGCCGTTATTGTTTCCTTGGTGCGTCTAAGTTTCTGTCTCTGCACTCGTAGTTATTCTGGCGCTGTGAAAGATAAGCTAAGGCACGGAGAAATGGAGCGGCAACATTTACCAACTGTGGTGTCACCACATTTCCTCACAGACAAGTGCAGGAAAACAGATGCATTGGTTCATGAAGATACCTGGAGTGAGAGGGTGTGTGAGCGTGCAATATGTGTAGGAAAGTCTGGAGGTTTTATTTTATGGAGTGTGAGTGTTTTGTGCTTTTACTTGATGAATGTAAAAAACAAAAGAGGAAAAAAATAAATAAAATAAACAGGAGCACTGCTTATCTACACATTTATATTTTTCAGTTTAATTTTTCTTTGTGCAAAAATGCACCACAAATAAACACAAAACCAGCATCCTGCTGCARAGCTGGGGTCTATCAATAGTTCCTGCACCATAAAGATTGATTTGAACACATCTGTTGTAACCATCAACTCCTTTGATTGAACTGACCGTTAGTCTTTTGGAAGCGTCCACTTCAATCATGYTGCGGAGAAGGTTTTGACAGTCTGGAGGGATGAAGTGTGGCATATGAAACACTCCCAACTTTACTTTCTCCAGGAGATTCCTTAGGTTGTCATCATCAAACGGCAGGGCGCCCTGAAAGCAGCACGGAAGCAACAAGTCAGATGAAGCAGATGGGAAATAACCATGAATAAAGCAGAAGATAGACATTTTATTTTATATTTTTGTAAAGCAACAGCATAATCTAAGATATCTTTAACAGAGCAAAAAAATGAGATTTTCTTCTTCTATTATCCCATGGTAGAAGAAAAAACCTGCTTGTTTTCTTAACCTTTTCAACTCTTCACTTTGAGTATTCTGCTGTCAAACGCAATGCAAAAGCAATAATAAACAGCGATGCGGTGAAAACAAGGCTTTTCTAATAATTACCCTGATTTCTCATTTAGCGCGTTCATTTAGCATTCTCCTTTTCCAGCCATTGATCAGCGAGGGCTGACACTTCACAGATGTGGCTGTGTGATGAATAACAACCTCCGCCAGAAGAGAAGACGGAGGAGAGCAAACCGGTGAAAAGGAGGACTAAGAATAAAAAGGGGGACAGACTTGTGTAATAGATGATGTGAGCGCAGCCTAACTGCTGGGGAGGATGCGAGTCTCCCACAATCAGACAAATGGTTATCTCGCAGCAAGACAGCAGGAGGGAACTGGGGGAGAGACGAGGCTGTATATGTAGGCAAACAGTGCAGGAAAGAAATAAAAAATAAAATAAAACTTTTGTTTGGACGGAGAGAACGGTTGCAATCGGAAAATGGTAAACAATTTAAGTTTCACACAACGTAAGTGTACAGGAAAGTCTCTCTACAACTCAAGTAAACACAAATGAGTTGATAAGACTGGGGGAGAGAGAGAGAGAGGAAAAAAAAAAGACAAAAACACAAGGCCTGTGGCAAAAAGTTGCCTTGTCAGTGTTGATATTTATATTGGGCTCTCTTCTTTCAGCTTGGCGGAATGAATAATTCATGAAGCAGGAGTGTGCAGAAACTCCAATACAGCTGTTAATGAAACAAAGCTTAAGGGCTGCATGGCTGGGGAACCACAAACATAATGTAGCAAGAGAACAGACCTTATTACCGATACAGCAGTGTGTGTGGATGTGGGATAATGAATAAAAAGATGCTCTAGTTCTCTGATTCGAAGTTGTGCAAGAATAACCAGCTGGAGGGCCTCTGTAACATTCTTTTTTGAGGGGTAAAGCCCTCTTAATGTTACGATTCTGACAGGAACTCCTCAACGTTTGAATTTGAGGCTTTCAGGTTACTTCAGGTTGCATCATTTTCTCATCCCATTAAGATTAACCTTGATTCGAAAGTTCGTCAGCAAAGTCATGACTGCCCTTTCGAAAGGTTCAATTTGTGTGTTTTTGACACACTGCTAAACKCAAAGGAAAAGTCGAGGTCTATAAAGTACTTGAAAAACTATGAACAGAAAATGACTTTGGTAAAAAATTAATTTCACTGATGAGGAAACGACTCAAGTAAAAGTCATAAAACTGTTCACAAAAATTGGGAAAGTAAAAGTACTTTTACACAATCTCTAAGAAATAAACTGTTAAATTTAATGAACCAATCTGGCTTCATTTAAACCAGGTTGAGTAAATTGAGCAAAGAATATACATATATTGCTCAATTTACTCAACCTGGCTAACACTAACCCCTAACGAAATAAAAGTAAAAGTAGCGGTTTAAAAAAGTAATTGGTAAAATTACAAATCCTAAAAAAAACTACTTAAGTACTGTAACAAAGTAAATGTACTTAGTTACTATAAACCTCTGAGGAAAAGTAACCCTTGATGGTTAAACAGCATTATGCCCAGGCCTGTCACAATAACTAATATTGCTGGAGGATAAATTATCTCAGAAATTATCGYGATAAACAATWATATTGTTTTGAGACTATTTTAAACTCGTATAATGACACATATACAAACACTTGTGAAACTTTATGAAAATGTATCTACGTAAAAATAAAAAAGTGACAAACTGACCTRGACTGGRGTTTGTGGAAATACACAACAGYTGAAACTGTATCATAGTTCCTCTATGCAAGCCGGCACAATTTCTTATTTATGTGTATTGCTCTGGCTAAATAAAAATAATTGCAGTCATCCATTCCGCTGCTAATGAAGTTTACAACAGTTATGTAGTGCCACAACAAAAATATCTCAGCAAACCTAAGGTTCAGCACGGAGCCCTGAGGGCATCCTGAGGTGCAGCCAGTTGGATAAAAGCATWGGAAAAACAAAGCTGCTCCTCTAGCTAAAAGCTTGTTCATGGAGGTYTCATGCTACAGAGGCTAGAGACCATGAGCGTGGCAAAAACCCAATGCCAGAGTTCACAGCTCCCAATGATAAGGAAAAAAAAACAGGAAAATGAAAATGATCATTTTCATTTATTCTGCAATTAATTTGTTGCTTATCGCGACAGGYCTAGTTACGCTGTGTTGCATCTGAGTCCATCCCTTCAGTTAGTAAAACAGACACTCACCACCAAAAGAGCAAAAAGTATGACACCACAGCTCCAGACATCTGCTTTTCTTCCATCATACTTCTCTCCCTGAAGGAAAAAAARTTGTTTGCACAATGATAGTGACATAAAATAGCATCTCTAAAAAAAGTTAATACAGAGGAATAATTATTGCAGATTTGCTCACCCTGATGACCTCTGGGCACGCGTAGTGTGGGGATCTGTTGGAATAAAAAAGCAAAGTTTTATTGGTGAATGATTCAGGGCAAGAAAGTAGCGTCAAAAATATTCTACGGTTTCTGTCCGTGCAAATGTAAAGTCAGTTCTACAATCACAAAACTGCAACCATCAAACAAGCATAAACTACTGTCAAACACATCAGCAGGCGGTAAATATTTCCACYGGACATAGATCAAGGTGTACTTCTGGAGTTAAGACACCCTGAGGGGGGGTTGGATGCCCTCCCCCTGTTTGCTCAGTCAAGGGCATCTTCACACAGCAGACAGTAACCAGACCCACTAATCTTTACAACCGCTGGATGGACTGACAGTAAAGCCAATGACTAGATTGACACATCAATATCACATGAAGATTTATGGAGTCAGCTCACAAACGCTGCTCTATAAACTGGTGGCTGCAGGGGTGGGGGGGAAGGTTGCAGCGGGTGGGAGCAACTTGTCATTCGACACATTCATTTTTTTTCCCTGTACTTTGACATTTCTGTATTTGAAAATTATTTATCTGGGGTAAAAAAAAAAAAAGAGAGATCCTTGTGTTGGTCTATAATTTGAAAGATAAAGTGGTTTGTTACTTGGCCTTTCAAAGAATTTCACCTTTCATCCTAAATCTGTCAACCTGGTGAGACACGTCCCCCCACATCTTCCTCTCACAYGGTTTCATAGTAGAATATCTGAATTTAATGAGGGGCTATTAAGGGTTGTTTCCTTGTGTACTCATGAACACTGGCCCCCATGACCCAGCTCCTTGAGCTGTYAAAATACTGGCCGATAATCACACTCTCATCACGTCAACAGGGTCAATTCAAATGCGAGTCTGTGCAAATGCGTCCTCCCTGATTGCAAGTGTCACAGTGCATTATGCAGATTAGCAAGGAAGGAAAACTAAAAGTTGCACTGGTTAGGCCTCATGAGCAACATAACATGCAAGCTACAGCTGTAATACAGTCATTATTAAAACAGGCTTCAGGTTGGTCAATGCACCGAGCAGAAAAMAAGGAAGCTGATAGTTAGAGCTGAATCTTTTAATTGTTAGAACAAAACAGCATCTGTACTAAATGTGCAAACTGTTTTGTTTTGGCAGATAAATTTGTGCTTCACTTAAAAAAAACAGAATATACAGGTTATACAGTTTGTAAGATTTAATTAGATGATATTTGCAGCACATACATCAGAAAAAGGCAGAAACAAAACATGAAAACAAACATTGTTGCAAACTAATGAAGCTGCTTTTTAATTTCAGTAGTGTTGATCCTCAGATTCTGTTTTGACTCCAGTTCATCCAAACGTACTGTGAATACAAGATTTTACATTTAGAGCCCTTTCATTGGCCTTCTAAGCCTTCCATCTCGACTTAATTTGACAATGAAAAGCAGGTCTTTATGTGATGCTTCCCACTGTCACAGCCTTTCTCACTACCTTCCTGTTGCTAACTTGAGACGAGGCGATTTATTAAAAAAAAACAAAACAACCAAACCAAAGCTTCAAATTGATTTCCTTGAACAAGATTTCTGTGAAAAAAATATCAAATCAACCCTAACGACCTTCCCACATGTACTGCAATAGAAAAACTCAAAGAAATTCCATCAGTACAATAGTCAGGACACATTTGCCCAAATTCAATTACCAACCTAAAAGGAGATTTTTCTCATACAATACATTTGTCGCAGACGACTCCTGGAGTTAATAGACTTGCGTACTAAAGGTAGACAACAATAAAAGCCATTCCTATCTGACCAGAGTGAAAAATTCAGTCTTTTAAAAAGCTCTTATGGATTTTTTTTTGTTGTTGTTGCTGTAACAACATAAGTTCTGTGTTCCTATCTGTAAAAGCTCATTTACTTTCTCAACCCAATGTCATAAACATCACAAACAAAATCAGCAGCCAGGAAATAAAGTAAGTTACTTTCTAAAGGCAAGAAAACTCCAACAGCACGATAAAACAGGACGATGCAGTGAGTGATTTACAGATCGATGGAAAGGGAGATTTAAAAAGCATACATTAAGTCTTTTGGGACTTTTCTTTATTGTTTTGTTTATAGTGGATTTTTGGGGAATGCTAAAATACACATTGGAGGTAGGTCTAGCTCTAGAAGACACTGCTTTTGAACAGCCTGAACCTTTAGTTTGACACATGGGAACTAAAAACGTGCAACTCAGTCACACTTTTGGGCCTGAGCTTCTCTGGATTAAAGCATTCAGGAAACAGAAGTTTAAAACACAGGCTTTTTCAGACGAAACCGCAAAAAAAAAAAAATGCTGAAATAAAATGTGTAAGCATTATATGTTAGTTTGCAAACAGCTTGCCATTACTAGAAGCCCATGTTCATGAAAAAAATGTCTTTTGGAACTAAACTTGTGCAGCTTTGCAAAGATGATAATTTACTTTCATCAAAGAGAGCAGCTAAACTGCAGTAATTAGAGCACATATAAACTCACACTGGAGTTGGTTTCGACAGAAAAAGCTCACCTTGAATTCATGTTTGCACGTGTTTGTCAGCTCCTCTGCTCGTTTCCACATCTGTGTATGTGCATGTATTTATCTACTGATGTTCTCCGAGCTCCCCCCCACCACACACACACACACACACCTCACCTCTTTTTTTGCTACCTGAGGCAACTCTCATCTTTACTCAGCTCCATTACCCAAAGCAAATGGAATACATTTGCGTCAGCAGCCCCGCCGCGTGGTGAGAGGGAACCCAGATAAATCTGTTTAATTAAAAAGTGTCATATCTGCACTTAGAGATGGGGCAGTCAGAAGAGCATGAATAATCAATAACCACAATTACAGCGCGTGGCACCAGCAGACACACACACACACACACACACACACACACACACACACACACACACACACACACAC